CACAACCACCACCACAACAACAGCAACAACAGCAACAACAGCAACAACAGCAACTACCACCAACCGCGGAGGTTAAGCGACAGGCGCCGAAAGGAGCCGCTGGGCGAGATGTAGAAGGAGGATCCTCTGAAGGTCGCAGAGTCGGCACCCCTATAACTGATTCTGTTGTTCGTTGGGACGAGCGTTTTCTGTTGAAGCTTCCTGTGGAGCTGAGCGAGCAGCTGCTGTGTCCCGCCCCGGGGGACAATCAGTTTGCTGGAGTACCGCTGCAGGTAGACGACAGCTGGGAGGGGTTGGGGGCGGTGCGGCTGAGGGGGGTTGGGGGCGGTGCGGCTGAGGGGGGTTGGGGGCGGTGCGGCTGAGGGGGGTTGGGGGCGGTGCGGCTGAGGGGGGTTGGGGGCGGTGCGGCTGAGGGGGGTTGGGGGCGGTGCGGCTGAGGGGGGTTGGGGGCGGTGCGGCTGAGGGGGGTTGGGGGCGGTGCGGCTGAGGGGGGTTGGGGGCGGTGCGGCTGAGGGGGGTTGGGGGCGGTGCGGCTGAGGGGGGTTGGGGGCTGTTGCACGTGTGTTCGTGTGTACGTTGTTTAATGAGTTGTTGAGTAATGAAACCGGGCCGCGCTGATTACCCCGCCTTTTCAACAACGCAACGCAACACGCGTTCCCGCTCGCGCCCGGTCATTCCACCCATTCATGCAGTCCTTCATGTTTTTCCATTTCCAAATTATCATTATTATCACTACCATCTAACCCGTTTAACGCAATGTTGCCCACGCTCCTCTTTCATATGCGTTGTGGATACGCTGTTGTTAGTTGGACGTGTCTTTGCTGGCCTGCGGTGCCGCCGGAGGGCCGCCTCGCGTGATGGCAGCAGGAACCTTGCCACTGCAGTCTGACTGGCTGGCCAATGAGGTGGATACGCTGAGGAATACGGCAGCGGCGGCAGCGGCGGCGGCAGCGGCTGCCGGCACGCTGCTGCCGGTGCTCGGCGCAGCCGCCGAAGGTGGCGGCGGCGCTGGCGCCGGCGGCGCCGCCGGTGGAGGTTCGGACGTGAGCGAGACGGTGGATGTTCCTCTGTTTCCCACACGTGTGGTGGTGGCGGTTCATAACGGCGATGGCGGTGGTGTTGGCGGCAGGGCGAAGAGCGGCGGCCGACCCGTGGGTCGTGCGAGGGGTGACGAGGCGCCGGTAATGCTGCAGCTGCGGCTCAGCTTGGACGTTCATCAGGTAGGTTTGTGATGGTGTTTTGGGGTTTATGTGTGCGCCGTCTGTGTGCGCTTGCGATGGGCCAACGAGTGCCTGGGTGCTTGAAGGATACAGTGCATGCCAACGAGTGCCTGCGGGCACTTTATACTGTTTTCATTTCTTGCACGTTTGAACCCGTCCTTAAACTACGGTACTAGTAACGTTTCTGTTTACGATCCCACAACGCTTGAGCAAACAGCTTTGTCCCTAGCATCGTTTTTCCAAACGCTGTGTACCCTTTAGTTTGGATGAACGTCTCCCGCGCGTCTCCCGGGAACCCCTTATCCGAAAACAGGTGGATAGCAGCTGGCAGCCTTTTCTATCCCGCACTCGCCGTCGCCTGCCCTATGCCTCTCCCGATGGCGGACCCGGAGGCGGCAGCGAAGGCCGTACCGGAGGCGCCGTCGCAGCGGCGGCGGCGATACGCGGCGGCCGCCGCGCCGTACGTCTGTACGGCAGCGACGTATGGGTGCCGTTCGGCCAGACGGGTGGCATTATCATATCTGGCCCGGGAGGCGACATGCTGCAGGCGTCGAGTGAGTTACGCTCATGCCGTACATCTTTACCAATACCTCCCGGGCCCGCGGCGTGATTTGCAGTTTCACAGAACAAACAGCTGTATGTATATGCTTACACCTACAAGGCTGAAGGTTGTTGAGTCAAGCATACGGCCATATAACCCGTGTGTGTGTATTCCGCATGTACGACACCGTTGCGTCCCGTTTTCCCTTTCCCCTTGCTCTCCCCTCTCCTACCTACTCCGTTCAGGCTGTATCCCTATCCGTGCCGGTCCGGGTTTGGTTCTGGAGCGGTCTCCCGGTCCTGGCGGACAGCCCCTGGAGCTCCTTCGCTCTCTTGCCGTACTGGTCAACGGGTCTGGGGTCCCCTTGGAGGTGTCGCTGGTGGCGGGGGATCCCGAGGTGGCGTCATGGACGATGCTGGCGGGGGAGGCAAAACCGCCACCAGCGCTGCCGTCAGCAGCGGCGGCGGCGGCGGCGGCGGGTGGACATGCTGAAGGTAGAGAAGCTTGCTTTTGCTTTCGGAAAGGCGTGCGTTTTGTAGCGTGGTTTGATCGTTGTGTGATGTCAGTATGTAGATATATATGTAAGCACACGTGTGTATGTATGTACATGTATGTGTATTTGTCTCATCGCACCCCGTTGCCCCCCGTCCCCGTCCCCGTCTCCGTCTGCGCCGCTGTCTTATCGGTCTTGCGTAGGAGGTCCTGTGGGCTCGCGACTAAAATCTCATCTTATCTGACCTGGTCGCTTACTTGTTTTCCCTGTCCTTAGGCAACCGCGACCGCAGTCAGTCAGATGTGTGACATAGCGAACGCGACTTTACAGCCTGCTCTCTGCTCAGTATCCGCCCATCAATATCCTGTCGCCATCCTATCGCCATACCGCACGCCGTTGCCCCTCTCGCAGCCGCTACCGCTGCCGCCCCGCCGCCGTCACCCGTGGAGGAAGACGTGTACGAGAACGAGCGCTACATTCCGCTGTTTGGTTGGAGCCCCAATAACCTGCTACCGACGGAGCGGCGGCGCTACAGCCGCCACGGACAGAGCTACACCTCGTTTCCGCTGGTGCCGCTACCACCTGGCTGGGAGTGGGAGGGGCCATGGCAAGTGGAAAACGCAGGTGTGTGTCTGTATGTGTGTCTGTGTGTCTGTGGGGGTGCTATACGGCTGGGATACGGACTGATATACAGACTGTCATCCCAAGGCGGATGTGGATGTTCCGCCTTAATGCCAAGACCCCGGGTAAAGATGTAGGGGCATGTAGGGGCATGTAGGGGCATGTAAGGGCTATGTATCTTCTTAGTGCCGAGGCGAAGGAACTGGGTCTGTGGTAACATCCGGACGGGTGTTGTGGAGCGGCAGGGCAATAAATTAGGGTTTTAGGGTTTTATATAGGCATTCTGATATTTTGCTTCAGAGGCTATTAGGGTTTTAGGGTTTTAATATAGGCATCCTGATATTATGCTTCAGAGGCGACACGCCCGCCTTGATCCCGGTCTTCCTTTTGCAAGTCTTACAAACCTTACGACCATTCCGACCGATCAAAAGCTCCTATATCCTCTGGGTTCGGTTCTGCGTTGCCCATTGGTGGTGCTCAACCAACCCCGAACGTCGAATATCCAACCCTAAACCGCAAACCGCCAACGAACAACGTCTTGCCCACAGGCCACGTGGATGCCAACGGTTGGTTTTACGCGCTGGACTGGCCGTTGCTGCGTTACCCGCCAACGCCCGAGCAGGCCAGGAGGAAAGTTACGGACATGGTTCGTCGCCGGCGTTGGCTGCGTCGCCGCCGCTGGGTCGGCGTCGGCAGCGGCGCCGTCAAGGGCGCAGCTGCCGTTGACGGCGGGCCGCCGCGGCGGCTGCTTGGCGTTGTTTCCCCCAGTGACAAATTGCCATTGCCGCTTGGCTGGGAGGTAGAAGGCGTCGAGTTGCAAGTACGGCCGGTGGCGGCGACGTCGACGTCGACGTCGACGGCGGCGGCGGGAGGCCTGGGTGACACCGAGGCTCACGAGTCCCACGAATGGAGCGCCGGGCTGGTGATGTCGGGGTTGGACGAGGGCGGTGCGCGGTTGCTGTGCTGCAGGTAATGAAGGGCGAGGAAAGGTGTATGTGGAGTTACGTGGAGTGGAAGTCCTGTGCGAAGGTTGTATGTGAGGGTGAGGGTGAAGGTGTAGGGGAAGGGGAAGGGGAAGGGGCGCCCTTCACTAACTTGAAAAACCCCGCGCTTACATTTCACGCCTACTTTTCTTTGTCATTATCATTCGCTCGCTCCCCGACTTCCAGGCCCATGTCCGCACTACCCAACCCCGGCTCCGAAATCACTTCCTCAACCTCCGCAACCACCGGCACGGCCTCGACGTCGGCCTTCGCTGGCTTGGCGCTCATGCCCGTGGCGGAAGCCGAGGAGGCGGCGACGGCCGCCACCGCCCCATCCGCTCCGCCGCCGTTGGTAGACCCCCTCCACCCCGCCTGGCTGTCGGTCTCCCTGGAGTGCGAGGCGCTGGTGGCCACGTCAGGCTTCCTGTCGGGTCCAGGAGGGGGACTGGATACTTTGGTGGATTGGAGACTGGTGGTACGGCCGCCGCTGACGGTGCACAATACACTGCCGGTGGCGGGTGGGTTGCAGCCCGCCTGGGCTTGGCATTGGGTTTCTTTCGGTTTTCAAAATGGCTTGGGTTTCGTTAGGGTTTCAGAATGGGGACACGAGGACAAAAAGGAGTATGGAGAGGAAAAAGGGTTATGGGCGGACCCGTGGGTCGGCAGATGGATGTGTGTGTTGGGGTTATTGGGCAAGGGGGAGGGGAAGGGGAAGGGGAAGGGATGTTGTGTAGGGGGTTATGCAGGGGGCTACTCGGCAAGAAGGTCAAGGTGAGCGATGCTTTCCCGGTTCGAGTGAGCCCTGTGAGCTCACTGGGTGACGGACCCTCCCTTGCTCTCGCAACGCCATTCCCCTTATAGCCTGCTTGGTGTCCCCCGCGCGAACCTTCTCGAGACACGTCACTGCCATTTCCATGTCCACTTCCATTTCCGTATCCATTCCCCTACTGCGCAATTTACCGCCCCCGCTGCCACAGGTCGTTACATCGTGTGGGAACGCGATGGGCGGGTTGGCGCTCGGGAGCCTCCGCGGGTTCGCCAGTCGGGCAGGGTGGCGGCCGGGGGAGCAGCGCCCGTGTTCTCTGCGGATATGAGGATGCAGGCAAGCCCCCATGTAACGGAACGCAGGGGAGGTATAAGGCGGGGAGGTAATATAATATAGGTATGGAGGTATATAGAGGTATTATATTATATACATATATATGTATGTGTGTCTGTGTGACTGTGCATGTGTGCGCATGCATATGTGTACAAGTGTTTGTATGTGGGTTGGCTTGCGGAGGGATGAAAAGGGGGCACAGGTGGTTTGCGGGACACTCTCGTTGCGCACCTCCACTAACCTGCGGGCCCCGTTTCCCCCTTTCCTTTGCCGTTTTCGTTCCCTGTTCCCACCCTGTTGAATGCTGCCTGCCCCACCCCAAGGTGTATCTCTCCTTCGCGCCCGACGGTTGTGAGTATGGCGAGTCGTCTCCCGTCATCATTAGCGACGGCTACATGCGCAATGCGGCGGGAGTGGCAGGTGCGGGTCTGGGCGGGAGTGGCACGAGTGCGGCACGGCAGGGCACGGCAGGGCACGAGGGAGGTGTGTTCGGGCCGCGGACCGGCGTACAGCCCCGACCGCCGGGACCGCCGCCGCCGCCGCTGCTTTGTTTGCAAAAACAACACTTGCGCCTTCTTTCTCCAAAGCACGGCCTCCTCTTTGCGTATCTGTATCCTTTTTTTGTGCTGCTCCGCCTTTCCCTGTTACAGGGACACAAGACATGATCACCACAATTCGAAACCTCCCGCTCCCACACATGCTTATTCTCCCACCTGAAATACGCACCGAAACCGCGCTTCTCTGCCCGCGCTTTTTCCTCCTCCTCCGCCTCCTCCTCTTCTTCGTCATCGTCTTCGTCTTCATCGTCTTCATCGTCGCAGGGCGCAAATGCCCGCGTCGTTCCCGCTGCGGTTACATCCTCCGCTGCTTCTCCCGCTGCTGCTGTCGCTGCTGCCCCTCAACCCCGCCCCGCCACCCTCCATTACCTGCCGCAGCCGCCCCTCGCCTACCAGATAGCTTCCGCTGCACCTACTCCCACTCCGCATCCTTCTCCGCACTGCGCATCCAACTCATCCGCGACGTCGACACCTCCGCCGCGTCCGCCGGCTTCCTCGCCGCGTCCGCCGGGGGCGCCGGCGCCAGCCGCCGCGGCGGCGGTGGCGGCGGTCTGTTGTTCTCCCCTGGCGAGGCTGTAGCCCGGGGCTACCCCCTGACCGTGTCTCTCCATGTGCCGATATGGCTGGTGAACGCTACGCAGCTCCCCGTCAGCTGCGGCATCCTGGAGGTGGAGGCGCCACCCGCGCCGCCGTCGTCGATGGCAGCGGGCGTAGGCGGAGAGGGAGGAGGTGGAGGTGGAGGTGGAGGAGGAGGGATACGGCCGGAGCTGTCGGCGGTGTCGTCTGGAGTTGGTGGTTTCGGAGCTACGAATCAGGTGATGGGGTATTTTTTACGAGAACAGCACCACAGCAGCAGCAGCAGTAGCAGTAGTAGCACCATCACCATGGTCACAGGATCCATTCACTTGGCCCGTCCCCGTCTGTTGCTTGTTTGTCCCACCTGTCACTGCAGCCTCCACCGCACGTTCTAAGAATTATCGACACAGAGGCCTTCAAGAATTCCCCGCGTCCCCAGTCGTACGTCTCCGTCCTGCCGCGTTCCCTGGAGCTCCTGTCGTACCCGGCTGGCGTTACCGGCCCGCTGGAGTCAGGTGATGGCGACGGAGGACTGCAAGTAGCAGTTGTACTGCGGTTGCACGACAGCCGTTGGACGCAACCGATTTACCTGCCGCGCCCCGGGGAGCAAATGCAGCCGAGGCCAGGAGCTGGGTGGGTGTTGTTGTTCTTGGGGTGTTGGGCTCCGTCAGGAAGAGGAGGAGGAGGAGGAGGAGGATGTTCTTCGTATTATATTTGTTATTATAGAGTTAAAGCTCAAAATTCAGGTACGTTGCTGTCCGGATTTTCCATTTCCAAGTGTTGAGATGTGAGACATCGCTCACGCCCCTTTCCTTTTCCCTTTCCCTGCCCGGCGCAGCGGCGTGCCTCTCCCCAGCGACCGGCTGCTCGTACGGGCCTTGTGTACGGATGGCTGCATCCATGAAGTAGCTGTACGGCTGGAGAGCGCCCCCCTGGGACTAGGCCTCGAGTTCGGACTCGGGCTGGGCACCGGACTGGGAGCGGGTCTCGGAGCGGGCTTAACGACGGCTGGTGGCCTTGGCGGCGTGGCGGCAGCAACCCGTGCGTCCGTGGCGGTGGTAGTACGGCTGGAGCATCATGTGGTGCTTACCAACACAACGGGCTACCCGCTGCAGCTGCTGCAACCGGAGTTGGCGGCGAGTGCGGATTTGGGTGGAGGGGCCGGCGGGCGAGGTGCGTGCCCGGGAGCCGGGACGTCGTGTACATGTCTTGCACAATACACGCCGAACACCGCTTTTTACTTGCACGTGTGCTTCTCCGGACCGCAACCTTCACATCTCACCCCTGTTGCACGTCAAGCCTGGGGACTGCACACATATGGACCATCCGTACACTGACCCGTATACCTCATGACCCGTATACCTTATGAATTACCATATGTATGGCTCTCTTCTGACCAAGCTGGAGGCCATTCTGGAATTGTATCCGTACACTCCGTACACTCCAGGCACCCAAATGCCCTGCTTGAGCCGCTGTGTGCGTCATCACCTTCTTTTGAAGGCCACCAAGCCTCCATGACCTCCATGACCTCCAGTCCCCCCCCGTGGCACAGGCTTCCGCGGCGGTGCTGGGATGACCTTCACGGCCGGCGGCGGAGCGGGTCGCGGATCGGCATCGGGAACGACAGCGGCGGCGGGGGCCCCGTCGCTAGCCGCTGCGCTCACGATGTCGCTGCCGCCAGGTGTGCGTGTAACGCGCCTTCCGGAAAACATCCCGAAAATCCGTACTTTCCCACTTCGCAGATTACCTTCCTAACAACATCCCAACCTCTTTACCACCTGTCTACCTGTCTGTATGTACCTTGCCGTACAGGCAGCCTGGGCGTCCCCCTCCGTTGGGCCGCCGCCGCCGCTTCCCGCCGCCACCTCTGCCTCGCCCTGCCGCTGGCCGGGGAGACCGCCACCTCCGCCACCGCCTACGGCCTCTCACCCAGCATCATGTGGAGCGAGCCCCTCAAAATCGATATGCCCGGCGGCCAGGACGCGCAGGTAGCGGTGCCGGTCTATTGCCTCGGACCCGTGGGTCGTTACCACTCGGCACACGCCTCCGGCCCTGCCGCCGGCGCACTGGCTGCCGTGGCGGCGCTGGCGAACATGACGCCGCAGCAGCAGCGGCTGTTCGAGCTGCAGCGCGCACACACAGTCGCACGTGCGATGTTCGCGTCGCTGTGTGGCGGGGGCCCTGGAGGAGGAGGAGGTAGTGGAGGGGTTGACGCCGGTCCTAAGTCCTTTAGGTTAATGGAGAATGCCGGGTCCGGCGGATCTAGCACCACGGGATCTGGGACGTTGGGGGTTGCAGTGGCGGAAGGCGCTGCTGCAACCGCTACTGCTACTGCTGCTGCTACTGCAGTCGGCAGTAGTAGCGTACGTAAGGGCGGCGCCGCAGGCAGCAGCAGCAGCTTGCCCGGCCTGTCGTTTGCCCCCGGTCTGGGTCCAGGGCTGTTGAGGTTGACTCGCCATGCGTCATCTGGCGAGGACGGGGGAGGTGGAGGTGGAGGTGGAGGTGGAGGTGGAGGGGGCGGTGGTGGTGAGGAGCAGCAGCAGCACCAGCAGCAGCAGGGCGGTGAGGCGGCGGCGACATGGATGGCGAGAGGGGTCCCTGTGGGCGCGTCACCTCCGGGTCGTCTCCATCCGCCCTCCCTGGAGCCCAACTTGGTGCGGATCGTCCGGCCTACGGAGCTGGGCAATGTGGTGAGAGGGTGCTGCGAGGGAGAGGGGTTTTAGCCACCGCGGTGTGTGTGGGGGGGAATAGACCGCTCCCACCACAAAACCCGCACGATGAAACCTGTGGCGCCTTCCGCGGCCTCGCGCCCAACTTGCGTCGGTGTCGTATCTCTCGATCCGTCGTTTGTAGATGTTTCTGGTCATGTATAGACCATCTACTTACGGTCTATAGACAATTTATTTCTCGGTCCTATTTACTAGACGATGACCCTGTCTATAGACCGTAGAGGAATTTTAACGGCGTTGTGCGTGTGCTCCTGCACGTGCTCTCCTTGCAACCCTCTCCCCACCCCACCCCACCCCGGACCTGCTGCCCGCTCAACCACGGATACCGATGGGGTCCTACGTGCTCTAGTAGGAGGACGGCCGCAGTCTTCTCTTGCTATTTCGCTCCCTAGAGAATCAGGGAGTGAGAGAAATCACACACGCACACACATCCTGCCTTACCAGGCACCACACACATACATACATACACACACACCTAGAGGATTAGGGTAATTTCATGCACACGCAAGCAACCCCAATTCCTTGGATGTCGTCGGCAGTTGACCCCTTTTGCTGGTTTCTTGCCCATCACCATCATGATCTGATGAACCCCTCCTCCCCCTTCGCCGCCTTCAAGGACGCCTTTTGGTCAGTTCTACGTCTGGTACACTCTTGCCCTGGCAGCAGCTTCACTCGCTCGTGGTTCGTCTTTTCCCCCTCCCCCCTCCCCCTCCATCTCAGGAATTCTTGGCCGTCCTGCTCAACGTGCGGCTGGTGATGCGGGCCCCCGGCTGCTTGGTGCTCCGGCTCGCCTCCCTGGGCGGCCAGCCGCAGCAGCTGCTCCACAACACCAGCCCCCACGACCTCATGTGGCGACAGGCCTCCCCGCGGGCGGCATGGGCGAGGTTGCCGGGCTACAGCGCGGCGGCTGTAGCCCGGGGTGTGCTGGGGGAGAGCTGGGGAAGTCCAGTGGAAGTGGAGCTCAGGGATACGGAGCCGCAGTCCGAAAGTGGGTTTTTCTTTGTTCTTCTTTGACATGGTTCTAGCAGGGTTTTAGCAAGGTTTTAGCTAGGTTTTAGGGTATGCTTAGTTCAAGTTTTAACGAGGGGGAGCTTATTGACGTATTGTTGGCCTGCGGAATGTGTGTTTCAGGGCTTTAGGGTACATTCCTCCCGCACCACCACTACAGCCCATTTCCCTCGCTCGCAAACCCTTTCCCCAGCCACTTTGTCCGCCCCTTGCTCCCTCGTTTCCCCCCTCCCCCTTCCCTCCGTCACAGGCTCGCTGCTGCTGACTACCGACCTCATGGCTGTTGGGACAGGTGTTTCCGCCGGGGTAGGCGGCTTCCCCGGCCGGGGCGGTATTGGCGGTGTTGGCGGTGGTGTGGGTGGCGGTCTCCTGGCGGCTGGTGGTGGTGGTGGTGGTGGTGGTGGTGGTCCCCTTGGCGCCGCTGCGGGAGATCTAGGCCGTCCAGTGCTGCAGGTGATTAGGGACGGAGGGACTTGAACAGGAAACAAACAGAAGAGGCAGGGGCAGAGTGGGGGTAGGGTAAGGGATCGAAGGGGTAGGGTAAGGGGTAGGAGGGGTAGGGTAGGGGCTAGGAGGGGTAGGGTAGGGGGTAGGAGGGGTAGGGTAAGGGATAGGAGGGGTAGGGTAAGGGGTAGGAGGGGTAGGGTAGGGGCTAGGAGGGGTAGGGTAGGGGGTAGGAGGGGTAGGGTAGGGGGTAGGAGGGGTAGGGTAGGGGTAGGAGGGGTAGGGTAAGGGATAGGAGGGGTAGGGTAAGGGATAGGAGGGGTAGGGTAGGGGGTAGGGTAGGGGCAAAATGTGAGGGGGAGGCAAAAGGGGACGAGAGGGAAGACACGAGATGTGGGCCACGGAATATCGGAGGGGCTTTCCGCTTTCCCGTCCTCTTACGCCACGGCCTTTCCCGTCCTCTTACGCCACGGGCTACCCCGCTACCCCGCCTTGGGGAGGTACAAGGGCCTGCTTGGGATGCCGCTGGAGCCTTTTGCATACTTTGCTGTTTTTGTGTGGATATGTGTCTATAGTTGCTTGTGTTCTGCAACGTGTTGTAATTCCCTCGCTTGTTCCATCACCACTCTCTCCCCGTTTCCTTTTCGTCCTCCATGAGATGATCCGTCACACTGAACCCTCAACACTGCACACTTGCCTGTGCGTCTGTTTGTCTGTGTGCTTCTTTGTTTGTCCGTTTGTTTGTCGCTCAGGGTATCTTCAGTGTGGGTCAGAAGCATCGGGAGGTGATGGCGCAGGTAGCAGGGGGCTGGGGGGGAAAGGGGGAGGGGGAGGGCGAGGGAAAGCTTACTGCGGGGCGTCTCACCCGGGTGTTGAGGGTGGGGAGGGGGAAAGGTAAGCCGCTCTCCACAACTTAAGTTCGCCCGCAAGCCTGTTTCCCCTCTGCTGGCCTGTCTGTCCCTTTCTCTCTTTGTTTTTCTGTTTCTCTGTGCCATTACGGAAGTGTCGAGATATACCCCCAGCAAGAGCTGGAATACAGGCTTCTGTCTGTCTGTCTGTCTGTCTGGCCCTACACACGTGTGCACATATCGGTTCGCACCCATCCGGGGTGCTTTTTCATTGCCTTCTCTCGCCGTGTACGACAATGTGCGTGCGTGGCCACGTTCCCACCCACCTGCCATACCAACCAACTAACAAACTGCTGCACAAACTGCTTCTTCAGGTCTGTTCGGCGGACGACTTGGTTCTCACCCCCGAGGGCCTTACTCCCCTCCCTGGAGCCGGAGGAACCGGACTGGGGGCATCACGACTTGAAGTACTCGTACGACTTGTCGTAGCGCCGCCGCCACTTGGGCTCCCCGGAGGCGGGCCGCGCCTACCTTCCGCCGCCTTCATGGGGCCGTACCTCAATCCAGCGGCGCTGTACGGCGGAGGCCGCAGCGGAGGCGGCGGCGGCGCCGGCAGTAGCAGCAGTGGTGGCGGCGTAAGCAGCAGTACACATGTAGCGGTGTCGATAGGCTCGTTGGAGCTGAGTTTGGTGGATGGGCGGCCAGAGGAAATTGCGGTATTGACGGTGGACGATTTTACGGCGGAGCTGACCACGGGTCGGGCGGCAGGTAAGACCATGTGGGGAGTTGGGATATTGCATCGGTGCTATTCTGACTTCCATGCAAACTGCGTTATTCCCCATCATGCATCCTCCTTCTCTCCCTCCTTCCCGCCCGCCCCCCTTCCCTTTCGGTCAGTCCTACTTCTGGTACACTCTTGCCCTGGCAGCAGCTTCACTCGCTTGTGGTTCGTCTTTCCCCCCTTCCCGCCGTCCCTCTTCCTTCCCTCCCTCCCCCCTTCTTTCCCTCCCTCCCTCGGGTCGGGCGCGTGTTTGGGGGGTTGGGAGGAGCACTCGCATGTCATCAGCTTTTTATAACCAGCTAATCAGCCAGTTCTTGGCCAAACCTCGTCAATGCCGCCGCCACGCCGGCGGCAAACTTTATTCCAGCTCACGTCATCAGATCTTTTTCGCCGCCTCTACACCTACCTTTACTTTTTTACGGCTTTGCTCTACAGCTTTCCTTCCGCTCTGATTTTAGTCTTGGCGACTAGGTAGGTAGGTTTCCACGGTCTTCATCATCCCGAGGTCGGCTCCTTCAAAACCGCCTTCTGGTCAGTTCTGCTTCTCTTTCCTTGGCAGCAGCTTCACTCGTTCGTAGTTCGTCTTTCCCTCCCCCCCCTCTCTCCCCCCCTCTCTCCCTCCCGTTCTCCCTTCATCTCTCCCTATCTTCCCCCTTGTCTTCTTAGTCTTCTCTGTCTTTGCGATGCAAGTATAATGTCCCCTTCCTCGACCTTCCGCTTGCTGCAGGCGTGGATTTCATGCACCTATCGCTGCGTCTCCGCAGCGCCCAACTGGACGACCAAGTACCCGGTAGCGCCTACCCCGTGGTACTGCAACCCCTGGAGCAACCGGGAGGGGGGGGTACGAGCGACCCGCTGTTCGTACTGCAATACTGTTGCCAGGTGGGGTATCGATGTATCGTACGGAAGAGGATCTTGCGCGTCTTTACCATGTGCGTGGGCCTATGGGTTTTGGTTGCTGGGTGTGTGTAGGGGTTTCTCGGTGCGTGCTTACGGTGCGGTGCTCTCGCTGCATTTTGTGCACTGGTGGCACTTAGGGTGGCGCTTGGCACTGTCGCCATCCCCAATGTGTGTGTGTATGTGACGCCGCTGGTCCACCCCCTAGAGATCTCTAGTCCAGAAACCGTGGCCCTCTATTCCAGAGGCGTATCTACGACGAAAACTATTCCCACCGATACATTCCATGCCTCCCCCCATGCCTTCTCCCCCCATGCCTCCTCCCCCCA